AATATTCTACAAACATTTGATAAAAGTAATATGCTAAAATTATTTGGAAATGATTTTTATATGTACTAGTTCCGTACCTTTTATTATATCATAACAGAATAATGAGTTACTATTCTATCTGTCATGAACTCTGGTCCTGTATTTTCTGTTTCCTTCGTTGTTAGCCGATCGAACGTGGAAAGAGAGATCGTTGATTAAAACGTAGAAATAACCTTGAGTTGGATATTTTTTTTTATTTATATTTGGGAAAGAGCGGAAATGACCCTAATGGCGTAAAACCGCCGCATAAATAGATTTTAAATTATATTAAATCATGAAGCGTTGAAACCGCCATTTTGAATATCATTGTTTCAGACACTGTTTTTTTAATGTTCATTTTACGAGGAATCATTTTTCAGCCGCCTGTACACACCATTCGTAAAGGCCCGCGACTCTCTTTTCAAACTCGAAGCACACAGAGTAAAAGTATTAACCGAGATCGTCCTCGAGAATTTGTTTATATATATATAGAAGGAGAGAGCGAGAGAAAAAGACGTTTCCTTTCTTTCTCGTTTCTTTTTTTGTCCAAACGACCGAGGGAAACGCCCAGACTCTTTTTTGTTCCTGATGCGCCGACGAAAGCCAAATGAAACTTCTTTTCTTTTTGTAATCTCTGTATGTTGTACAACTACTGTGGACAAAGTTATAAATATTATATATATATATATAAGTCTTTATGTAATTCATTCGTCCGCCTTTTCAGAATTCATTCCTTTTCAGATTTATTTTATTCAATCAACTACTGTTTGTTTTTTGTATTCTTTAAGCGTAATTTTTCTTTTGTTAACGTATTTACAGTGCTGATATTCGATTGGTTTCCCAATTCACCATTTCGATACTTTTATTTATTTACTGTTAAAATTGGGTTCTATACGCTGAAGGAGCTGCGATTGTCAACAAGACACTCAAGGGATTCTTTCGTTAATGGCGACAAGCTGATTTGTTTTTACTTGACAGAAACAAGCATTATCTTACAATACGAGAAAAGGGGTTTCGCCGGAAGTAATACACAACATTTATACAATATAATATATTGTCACAGTTCGCTTGTCCCTTTGACCCTCCCGTTTTCCGGTCCTCTGACCCACTTATATAGATCCTAAGCTACTGCTTCGCTCGTGTCGCGACACCTTTTTGTTAGGCACTGTGTACATGTTCGAAAATGAATGCGCTGTTATTCTTAGTCATACGCATGACCGAATGGTTGCAACATTTTTGTTCAATAATCTTCTAATCTTCTTTCGATCTTACTTCCGATTATTATTTCCTCGATTCTCGATACTTGGTCTCCTCGCGAGTCCTCAACTTCCGATTTCCCTCTGTACCCCAAAAATCCATTCTGTTTTTTTCCACTAGATTTCACAGATTGTATTATTAATATATGCACAATATAAAAATAATACAACGATATTTTCATCGAAGATCCCCACCCATCGAGTTCTAGAAGTTTTCCATGAAGTCATTATTGATCCATAATGCTCATCGGTGTTCAATACTCGAAATAAAAGGTCCAGTTCGATCAAAAAATGTGCAACCATGCATGCCACGGCGATACAGAGAGCAAAATACATTATTATCGGTTTCCTCGCATTCGTTCGACGACACCCCATTCGCGAGCCATTATCAAGTACACGCTGGTATCTCGCAGAACATATCGAAAAGACAGAAGCAAAAAGAAAAAGAATACAAAAACGTGCTCGGATTCTGCTGACTTTCATTCCCTTTCTAAACCGCTCCACTTAATCCACTGACTAATTAATTGGTAGATGCTTATTGTCACGCGTGTCAGAGTGTCTATCGACGCTGTTTACGAGTTTCTTTTTTCAAATGCAAAAATATATATGTACGAGATCTTCGTTTCTAAGATTAACTTATCTTAAAGAATCCACTAGCTCTAGGTCTCAGTCCTCTGGCTCCCTTCCTTAATTACTATTTTTTTTTTTTGCTTAAAACTAATCAATTGATTTAACGATCGATATCCAATATTGTAACCAATCGATTCCATTGGTTCCCGAATTAAGGGCATTCGCAGCAAAAAAGTTTGAAGAGAAATTTTTTTAATCGAATCCCTACTGTACCTGTTCGAAGTGAACGATTTTCTTGGAGAAATCACTGAACTACGGGGGAGGATCAATTCCGTTTCGATAGACACCCTGATCTGATCCAGTGCATAGTGTGATCGTCGAAATGTGTCCCGTTAAAATTTACAGCCGAACGACCAAAAAGTGTAACGATCACAACCGCGATACTATCGGCGATACGTAGTTTTCTTATTGATAAACATTGTGCAAAAATGAAGAAAATTCATTGTAATCTAGCTTTTAATACTCGGCAATCGCTAGTCGAGGCTGTTCTTTTTTTTTTTTCGAGCATGTAACAACTGGAATTGTTTACAATCCTGTGCGGATACGCGACATAAGAATTTTCTTATGTTAGTTGTGACGGAATAAATCGGCTTGTCAAGGTCCCCTTCCGCCATTGTATGAATCGTTGGATGACGATAGAACCATTTCTGTGCCATTTCTACATCATTCAATGAATGAATTAAAGTTTAATCCCTTGGTGAAGCAAACGAAGTAAATTACAATTTATCATTAGTTTGGATCAATTACAATGTGACAACAATCTTGACAGGCCCATTTCGCCCTAATCACAGCCAAGATCCAGTTTCAAGAACACCCTGTAGAAAATACTTGGTCCTAAAACCGTTCCACTATCAGATATGCCGTAATTTTGTCATTTTTTTTTAATACAGAAAAATCTACCTTTTATAAATTAGACAGGACAATCTTACGAGCTGTGCGATACTAGAAAGACCATCTATATAAATCGATACCACACTATTTCCCAGAATTTCAACCAAAGTTGCTTCTATCATTAGGCTGAACTGAAAGGGCAGAAACTTACCAGTAAATCATTACTAAAAAAAAATCTAGTCGACAATTTAGGAACTGCTATTTATTGTTATAATAAACCGTGAGTCCCCGGCTGATTATCAACAACGTATGTTAAGAAAGAACAGAAACATACAGAAGAAAAATCATCAAGGGCCGTAACGTAATCGCGGTTATTCTAAACGATACGCCTGGATAATTACTAAGAAGGATTAAATGCTGCGACGAGCTAAAAAAAAATCAGGAACAGCGCGTTAAATTTTGAGACCTCCACCCCTAGTCAACGGAGTGAGTGAATCCCTCGAAGGAGAAGACACTTCGATGCACACGGTAAAGTAACTATACACGGGCTAAAGAAACGCCTCACTGGAATACATACATCATACACACACAGTTTGTACAATAAAAACGGAATGATAAGTAAGGCGACAGAAAATACGGGGGAAAGAAAAACGCTAGGCGATTCGTAGGAGGGGATAAGAACGGCTAAATACGTTCCACGCAGATGTACGCTTAAAAAAGTATAAAAAATCTAAATCCTCGAGTGTACGCTCGTAAGTTTGTCTGCAGGATCGTTAGACTGCTTGATTCTATGGCGTTTGTGTAGCATCACCAAATGTACAAACGCTAAAGAAAATAAAACACCTTCACAAATATTTAAATACGAATTACAGATTTGTTCACGAAAGCCTGTTACCTTTATTTAACAGAATTATGTACTAAACTACGAATTTCATTTGAAAATTTTCAATTAAATTTTGACTAATTGTTATTTTGGAAGTATGCAACCCTCCCTATAAAAGCATCGACAAAGAAATTCAGTGGTTTCCGTTTTAACTACTTAGTTCCAGATTTCCAATCTTCGAACTCGCATAAACATCCGCAGTCTAGCGATCATCGATGCACCGAAACGTTTTTCTAATGTACCGCAATTAATACGAACGTGTTGTTACATATAACCTAAACACGTCTGAATGTCTAGTCACTCGAACGGCTGCACTAAATACATTCGAACCCCGTTCGTGTCCGTTTTTTCCGCGACGAATGCGATCTAACCAGTGGTTCTACATTGAAAAGTAGTCGTTTCGCGGTCGCCGGCCACGCGTGACAGCATGTGCACAAGGTGTAAGAGGGTATATAGACGGTGAAATACCTTCCAGCTTCACCTGATCATCATTTGTTCTTCGAAATAACAGTTCCAGGTGTGTCACTTCAATCTGTCCAAGTACCATCGAAACAAACTAGCACGCCTGTGCACTGGCCATCATCGCTGGCAGTAAATGCAAGTACAATATTAATCGTTATTATTATTATTATTATTATTATTATTATCATTATTATGCGACTTCGACAATCGAATGTCAGCGCGTAACGATACCGTCTCTCTCGCCTTTCGATTCTCCGGTCCAGGCGAGAAAAGAAATCGCGGCCCTTCCATTCGATTTCCAAGATGGCGGCGGCGCGGCGGGTGGTTAAATAGAGAGAATAAATTATCGAGGTACGATACCGTGAACTGAATAATACCATGAAGCTGGATTGCAAAATGAAAGCACAGAAACGAAGGATCGAAATACACAGACAGAAAAAGAATGATGGGAATGTGTAATCGTAGGATGAAGGGGGAACCAACACCGTTCGGAACACGTCCGTCATTTTTTCGGAGAGCGCGGTATAGTCGCGGTTCGTCCAAACGTGTGCAGGCGAATATTCTCGTGTTTCCTCGCGGAAGATACATTTTTCTTCTTTTTTTTTTTTTTTTTTTTTTTTTTTTTTTTTGTTTTGAGATATGACGTTCTTTTCTTTCACCTTTCTTTTCAGTATTTTTATGGTCGTCAACAACAGTGATACGTTGTTTTTACCCGTCGCTGAGATCGTCACGGTAGCCACGTCACTGTCCGATACCTTGGAGCTGGGTTTTCGACGTTGTGTCCGTGGAATGACATCCGTAGAGAACGAGACACGGTGTGCTTAGTCGAGAAACTTTCAAGGGAATCTGCGA